TGCATTTTTGCAAACACCTGAATCCTTGATCCTTGCTGTTATTTCTACTACATACTGAATGTGACTAGAAGAAGAAGCACTTGACATCAGGACAGCTCTTCGGATCAAAGAGTAGTAAATGCTTACAAATACTCCTCACCCAACCCTTGGGAAAGACTTTATAAGCACAAGACTGCCTTCTGACAAGCTGTAAGTGACAGCAAACACACACTGTCAGCGCAGTAGTGAGGGCTATTCCTCTCAGATCAAAACAAATGTGTGAATTTGCTGTCACTTCCAAATGTTTTATTGCCTCCTCCAGCTATTTGGGCCTAATAAACAGCCCTGTGCTGCATCAGGTAAAATCCATTTTATAATGGTGTGTTACTTTGTTTTGTTACTGAGGCCAAAGTGCAGTTGCAGGCTTACCACATCTTTTCCCTTGGCAGAGTATCCCAAAATGACAGCTTCCTGAATGTTACTAGCAGGAGCAGGAGCACTCTCCCGGGGCAGGGTGCCCTTTGTCTTGGGTTGAGCAATGTTGTGTGCCAGGAAGTTAAACTTGACTGCAACACAGTCCATACTCTCCTTGATCTTCCTACCACAGGTGCAACACAAACAGCAGAAATTAAATGCAAGTTTGTTTATTTGCGGAAGGATTATATGTATTCTTAGGAAGACGTTGCCACACACGTCACATTACTTTGTAAAGAAGGAGGTGGCCTCCAGGTCAGTATCGTGAGGTCTGAGGTTGTTCTGGACGTACTGCAAGTCATTAGAGTCCTTCAGTTCTGGCATTCCTGCATGTAGCATCTGGAAATTTACACAATGGGTAGAAACCTGTTTTACGGGATGTTTTCCATTCTCAGATAGAGCTAAAAAGGGACTGTAGTGTTATTTTGTCTTACAAGCTCCAACAAGCCGAGTATGAGTGCAGAACGCTGTCTGATTATGTTGTAAGCCTCACAGCAGAGCTCCACGAAGCGATGCAAGCGTTGAGGCTTCTGCCCTCCACCAGTGATGAAGTGGTGCATCTCAGATGTAAAGATGAAGGGAGACCGGTCCCTATTATTGAGCAGGAAAAAAATTTTTTTGTTGACTCATACATAACAGCACTCTGTTCTTTTTCAAAATGCTGCTTTGCTTGACTTGCTGACTTGCCTTTTAACACCTCCAAACATCTGTGCATTGCCCATTATCTTCCCGAAGTCAATGTGGAACATGTGCCCACTTTTTTTCAGCATGATATTGTCATTGTGGCGGTCGCAGATGCCCAGGATGAAGGTGGCAACACACCACCCGGCACACGAGTGCAGGAAGTTCATCACAGCCTGCATACAAACAGAAAGTGTTATGCACGAGAAAGATGGAGCAGTGACAGTGCATCGTTAAGAAAAGGCTTTTCAGATGGTCTTAACCTTCTCGTAGTCTTCCTTAGTTCTGTTAAACATGTGAAACCATTTCTCCAGAGTATCCTCTCGGAGGCTTCCACCCAGACCCCACTCTTTATGAATCTTTGCCAGGGTCACTGCCTCTGGTATCATTTCCACCAGACCTGACAAGCATAAAATAACAAGCTTTGGAAAAACACAAATTCCCAGACTATTTATGGATGTTCAAAAGCACAAATCTATCATAC